CCCAGCTGGCCGTATTCAGGGCACCCAAAGGAATAGAGGTTTCCTTTGCAGTCCATTATCATACTGAATTCCGCCCCGCAGGCCATTTTGGTAATTGGCTGGCCGTTGTACATTATCTGAAAAGACAAGACAGCAGACCCTCAGACTTGTTCTTACAGACTGATAAAGTCTCTCCTTCTCCGAGATGCTGTGATACAACCACTGGGATCCAAAAGAGGTTTAATGGACCCCACAACTCCGAAGGCAAAAGCTGGGTGCATGTGGACAATACGAAGCTCAGAATATAGGCAACGAAACACCCTGGTGACCTTCACTTTCCCAGGACAGAGCAGAGGTAAAAAAAATGACTCAGATGCTGGGGCTCTGAACCCCAAAATGCACGGTGATGTGCCTCACACATCGGGGCTCATGCCAGGCAGTGAAGCTCTAAAGTCAGTGATGGCGGGGCTAGGGATTTAGCTCAGCAGTACAGTGCCTGCCTGGCAAGCGCAAGGTCATGAGTTCAATTCCCGGTATGGGGGGGCGGGTGGACAAAACAAACAAACAAACAAAAAAACAAAAATATTAAAGTCCGTGAAGGCAAGAGCACGGGCTGGAGAACACAGGAACAGATCAGTAAGCCCAAGCCTTACTTCCGCCACCAGTTCCAGTATCAGCCTCAACTTTCAGATAACAGATGTTTTATTAGTGTCAGCGCCCGCCAGTTAGGACAAACCATGCTACACTCTTGTTTACAACTGTCGAGCTACTCAGGTTTCGAATCCTTTCTTGTAATACTGGGGACTGAACCCTGGCCCTTGCACTAAGCTATATCCCCAGGCCTTTTTTTATTTTGAGACAGGGTCTTACTAAGTTGCTAAGTTGCCCAGGCAGTGCTGAAACTTGCGATCCTCCTGCCTCAGCCTCCCGAGTGCTGGGATCACAGGCATGCACCATCACGCCCAGCTTTGGCTCTTGAGTCTTAAGTGAAGGTCTGAGAAATAAAATGGTTCAAAATGAGGCAGTTGGGCCGGGTGTGACGGCACACACCTGTCATCACAGCACTTATCTGTGCTCTAAGCCCCTGGCAGGTGGCCCCCACACAAGTTCAAACCAAAGTCTTTACAGATGAAGACAAATCTACATCCAGAAAACCCTTTCCACTGTCTTTCCAACAGAACGGACTTGAGGCAAGGCCTCGCTACACACGTTTGTCCTTTGGGAAAAGCTTTTTTGGTAAAGTTGTCAACCTGAACCCAGACGGAACCCGTATAAAGAACAAACTGTGCCTGCTACCTGCGCAGGGCTGGGGACGGCGTCCGTCTGATTGCCGAGGCCCAGCTGCCCCATCTTGTTCTCTCCAAAAGCGAACACGGAGCCCGTTTCTAGAAGGAGAAACAGCACAAAAGGGAAAGGAACGCTGAACATTTTCAACGAGGTTTGGAATCAAAAGCCTCAAAGTAATAAGAACAGCTCATTTTTCAGCAGACTGCAGGGCGGGGTGGGTATTTCAGAGCAGACCCCACTTCCCATCAGACCCTGGCGCGTCTCAGCTGGGGCGGGGCCCCTATAAGCCACCGGGGCTCCTTTTTCACGTGGACAGAGAGACGCAGGGGTGACCTTACCCCCCCCCCCCC